TGGAAGGCAATTCATTAACTGAAGCGTTTGTTAACCGAGGGACCACTGTATTCCCTTAAGTAGGCAAATAATTATTTTTCTGCACAACTATCAACGTGTTGCCTTGAGAAATTATTCCTGAATATTTAAATTTTAATGTCAATAACCTACAGCAGGGGTGTCAAACATGCGGCCCGACACACTCTTGCATGCGGCCCGCGGCCCATTTGCTGCTCCAGCCTTACCTTGAGAAGCTAAAACTAAATAGTGAGTGTATCCCTCGGCTGAATAAAATAGTCTGCTGTTTCCTAGAACAAAATACTCAATCAACATCACCAATGAAAGAACAATCAGACTAGAGATGGTTTTAACGGTTAATTGTGGTTGCAAGCGTGCCACTGTACGAGTTGTGAGACGGCCGACTGACTACTATACACTCCTTACAGTACAAGTATTAGACATGAAAACTCTGACGCGGCAGGCTCTTGCTTGGCCAGTCATTCAAGTACTAGTCCTGCATAGTCGCTCAAGGCAGTTAGATTGTTGCAATTATCCAAAGCAGCAGTGATCATTGTTTTTACTTTTGAGCCCATAATTATGTTTTCAAAGAAAAGAACAGTTAATGAAGAGCATCGGGTGGTACAGGATAAGTGGAAAATCTTATACTTTTTTGTTGAACTGAAGGGAAATCCAATATGTTTGATTTGTAATCAACAAGTTGTTGTGGCCAAAGAATACAAAGTTCGAAGGCATTATGAAACTAACCATGCTATGAAGTACAATAAATATACAGTCAACCCTCACTTTACGAGGTTAATGTAACCCACAGGGTACCGCGGAAAGTGAGAAACGCGTAAAGTGAATAACATAACATATGGGATTAAATGAAATAGAGACCAGCTGACCCCCAAACTCCACTTTTTCCAACACAATACCTATGTTCTAGTAAAAATAACATCTTAATTTTATGATGGTACATGCACACAATTAATACTTAAGAGAAATAGAGAAATACAGTCGCCAAGTTAATGTCCATTCAAATAATGGACTCAACTCCCTCCCCCTCTTCTCACACTACACTCGCTGGCTCTTCCCTCTCAGAAATTTTTGGGGGAAAACCAGGTATAGTAATAAATAATACCTCAAACTAAAGTTAGGATTATATAATTGACATTGCTGGATTCCTTGTAAGACCAGGAATATTTTGAATATAAATGTCATATATTTTGCACAAAAGATAACATATTTACTCAGAGTAAACATTATATCTAAAATTTGTATGTCTAATGCAAAATCTATGATGTTTATATTCAAAATGATCATCAAATTGTAAGAATTCCAGCAATGTAAATTATATTCTGGCTGGGTAATTTGTATGAATTTTATGAGCTAAAACAAATATCTTCAGTTAATAAAAAAAAAAATATTCTTCATGACACTATCTGTCAATCAAAGTACCCCACCTTGCCTTCCCCCCTCTTCCAACCAGCCAGATGGTCGGTCTGTCCCAACCGTCCTGCCCACCCCCCACCAACCCTCCCCCCCACCCCCCACCAACCCTCCCTTCAAGAGAAAGGTTGGGTGAAGAGACTAGATTTTAACATTTAGTATTAAATAATACCTCAGATTAAAGTAAGGATAATATAATTGACATTGCTGGATTCCTTGTAAAACCAGGAATATTTTGAATATAAATGTCATATATTTTGCACAAAAGATAACATATTTACTCAGAGTAAACATTATATCTAAAATTTGTATGTCTAATGCAAAATATATGATGTTTATATTCAAAATGATCATCAAATTGTAAGAATTCCAGCAATGTAAATTATATTCTGGCCGGATAATTTGTATGAATTTTATGAGCTAAATAAAAAAATTATACTTCACCCGCTTAAAGGGGTACACCCACCGCGGAATGTGAGCATCCTGGGTTCTGGCAGGGCACCGCGTAAACGTGGAAACGCGGAATGTGGGACCGCGTAAAGTGAGGGTTGACTGTAGTGGAAAGTTACGTGAAGACAAAATTAAGGAGTTGGAGCAGTCATTGAAAAAGCAGCGGTCAGTATTTAAGAGTGTTCATCAAGTCAGTGATGCTGCACTTAAGACAAGTTACAGGATTGCCCATGAAATAGCTGTGTCATCGAAGCTGTTTTCTAAGGGGAACTTCATAAAGAAATGTATGTTGATGGCTTCAGAAGATATTTGCCCGGAAAAAATGTCAAGCATTTGCAAACATAAGCCTCTCAAAAAATAGAGTTGCAGAGAGAATTAATGAATTATCAGAGAATATTAACAGTCAATTCAAGACAAAGTTAAGTCCTTTACTGCATTTTCAGTTGCAATTGATGAAAGTACCGATGTAAGTGATGTAGCACAACTTGTAGTTTTTATACATAGTGTGGATGAAAATATGCAGGTAACAGAAGAATTTGTGAAACTGGTACCAATGAAAGGAACAACAGGTGAGGACATCTTTGTGGGTTTGGTGGGGGCACTGGATAAATTAGGTGTTGACTGGGCACAAACTGTGAGTCTGGCTACAGATGGAGCACCACAAATGGTGGGTAGAAAAGCTGGCGTGGCAACAAAATTCAAGGAAAAACTAATAGCTGTGAAACCCGAACCATCAAATTTATAATGTGCAATATATTGTACATTAAGAAGTGTTATGTAGTAAAACATTAAAGATGGATAATGTCAAACGCGCACGAGGTCTGAAAAACAGACAGTTCAACTGCTTATTGGAGGAAAATGAGAACACACACAGACTGCCATATCACACTGATGTTCGCTGGTTGAGTCGGGGAATCGTACTGAAGCGATTTTATGAATTGCGCAGTGAAATACAGATGTTTATGGAACAGAAAGGAAGGGATTTGCATGAACTGAAAGATAATGAATGGGTTCAAGATCTAACTTTCATGGTGGATATTACAGAACACTTAAATTATGTGAATACAAAGATGCAAGGACGCAATAAATTGGTGACAGAGTTTTATGACTGCATTCGTGCCTTTGAGATGAAACTTCAGCTTTTTGAACGGCAACTATCAGAGAGTAACCTTTCTTTCTCACTTTCTGACCTTGAAGTCCCTGCAAGGCACACCTGAGTTTCGTGCTGATATCAACACAAAAAAGTACTGCATCAAGATTTCCAAATTAATGAATGAGTTCCAAGAAAGATTTGCTGACTTTAAAAGACTTGAGAAGGATTTTTTCATTTTTTGGGACCCATTCTCTGTTGGTGTTAATGAGGTACCAGAACATCTTCAGTTAGAAATAATTGAGCTCCAGTGTGATTCTGTGTTGAGGAACAAGTTTTCGAGTGTTGATGTTGGCACATTTTATCAATATTTTGGACCAAATTATCCCAGGATTAAATGTTTTGCCTCAAAGATTATGTCAATGTTCGGAAGTACATATGTCTGTGAACAACTCTTTTCTGTGATGAACTTGAACAAGTCTCGGCTTCGGTCTCAACTTACTGATGCGCACCTTAATTCAATACTGAAGGTTGCTACAGCTCAGTCGTTAGTGCCAAACTTTGATGCACTGGTCCATACCAAGAGGTGCCAATTATCAGGAAGCAGCAGTAGCAAACAATAAAATTGACCAAGGTAAGTAAACACTTGATGTGTTTGTTTGTTTTTAAGGGTTTCGCACGAGCGCAGACCTAATCCACCTTTCTTATTTTGTCGTACTACTCACCTGAGAGGTGATGGCGAAGTGCTCATAATTATGTTACTTGGCCCGCATACTGTGTACTCATATTAAATCTGGCCCGCCTTGGCAAATGAGTTTGACACCCCTGACCTACAGACTACATATAAATTGTTTTTATTGAATAATCTGATGTTATCAAACAATATCATGTAAGGTGCAATGGGCTTCACCGAGTAGTAGGCAGCTACCAAACAGGGAGGTACTACCGCCTGGGAAGATATTGGAAGCATAATGTGTTTGTTGTCTAATGGTAGACCCTGCTGCCATATGGCCTCACAAAAATTGTGACCAAGTCCCAGGTTGCTGATCTGACTTTCTGCCTCATTTACACACAATTGCAGAGTCTCAATTGTTTCTCTTATTATTGGCAACACAACTTTTAATCTTTTTTTTCATTTCTGTATTTCTTTATGGTTCTTTAATTTTAATATTATTATTATTATTAGTGTTGTTATTATTATTATTTTATTATTTTAATTTTTATTTTTTATTTTTTATTATAAATTTTATTTACTATGAATTAACATTATTATTTTTATTATTATTATTATTACATTTTTTACCCCCAGGCCCCGATGAGGGTCAGTGACCTGTGCCCAGGTGGGCTAATCCCCGTAAAAAATAAATAAATAAATAAATACAAATAAAAAAGCTGCTTGGCAGTATACCACCATTGAGGGGATCCAAATTTAACATTGAGTGAGCCGTCCTCCTAGAACAGTGGTTCCCAAACTGGGGGGTGTGCGGTGGGTACAGGGGAGGTGTGAAGCCATCTGCCAAAATTTGCTATTTTTTGCTTAAAAAGAATATAATGAAGAAACTCTTTCAAGAGTAACTCTCTCTCCGTTTGAATCTTCCACACATCCGTGCAAAACCAAAGTATAGCGGTCACCCCAATCCATTTTCTGTCATTTCATCTCTCTCTCATTACGCATCTTGTACATATCATGGATACCATACTGACTCTCACACTAGTCGAATCTTTCACAAGGAGTTATCTGATCCTCAACAATACTAAAATATAATTATAATAAAAAATAAAATCTATGTAGATTTTACATACAAAAATATAAGGGGGGGGGGGCGTGAGGACTTCGCAAAAAGCAAAAGGGGGCATCATGTTAAAAAGTTTGGGAGCCACTGTCCTTGAGTACAGAATCCTAAAATACAGTGACCAAAGTACTGTACTGTACACTGGTAGTAAATAAGCCATTACAATAGAGACTATTGTTTACTGCAGCATTATTTTGCAAAAGGCAATAAACACTTTTTAACAAGTTCTAAAAACTTACCTTCTAAATGAGAGCTGATGGAATTGAAGACATCATCAACCACCTTCTCTAAATGCAGAAGAACATCCACACAGTTGTTTACTGTTGATACTCTGCTTTGGTCTGCAGGTACCAGAGGGATCTCATGTTGATGAAGAACCATTCTCAAGAATTAGCACATGCAAACACCTGAAATGAAATTTTGTGCTGAAATACTGTACAGGGGGGTCTCTGAGTTACGAACCTGCCAATACGAATGAGGTCCCTTAAGGTCAATTATTTTAAGAATCCGACAAAGGTACAACTGGTTTATAGTATACACATACGAGAACTAGTTTGCGTGGCATAGTGGCAGGTGGGTAGTAATGCATCACCCAGTCACGCGCCTTGTGGGAGCGTCAGTACGCCTTACCCTCACCTCAGTAACACGTGTGATCAAGTGCAAGCTGTTGTTTTTTGCTTATTAACCCTATTTTTCTGCCCTTATCATGGCTTCGAAATGCAAAACTGCATCCAAGAACAGGAAAACGATTACAATGGAAGTGAAAGTTGATGTGATTACACATTATAAAAAATGTGAAACACATTGGTAAGGTGTTGGGCTTCAGTTTGTTAATGGTCAGAACAATTTTGAAAACCAAACACAAAAATCTTGAAATGTAAAAGGATCTCCACCAATGCACTCAACTGTGATAACAAAACAAAGAAGCGAATTGTTAATTTAAATGGAAAGATTGTTAGTGATATGGGTGGCAGATCAGCCAGCACCCAAGGTTTCAATGGAAGTGTTAAACTTTATTTTTTTATTTTCTTTTCTGTATTTTGTCATTCAATTTCTTTTATTCTCTTAAATTAAGTGATTCAAGATGCATAATGGAACTTGGGCTATGATATAGTGCACGAAAATTGTGACCAAGTCCCAGATTGCTGATCTGACTTTCTGCCTCATTTACACACAACACTGTGCAACAATTTTATGTTTATGTTGATTTTGATATGTTTCTTTACTAATTTAGACATGCTGATTACGAATCTGCCATTGGTTTTACCATGCTGTCAATATTTTAAAAAAAATTAACAATATCACACTTTTTCTCAATTTTAATGCCATTTTGGGGGGATTTCTGTTAAAAAGCACAGCATTTTAATATACAAAATTCAATTTAATATATATATATATATATATATATATATATATATATATATATATATATATATATATATATATATATATATATATATATAATAAAACGTCACTGTAGGTGCACGTGATCTGGTATATGATGGTAACCACAAGGAAAAAACGTGTTTTCTTTTTCTTGTGGTTATATATATATATATATATATATATATATATATATATATATATATATATATATATATATATATATATATATATATATATATATATATATATGAATAAAAGATTTGAGTTAAGGTTATCCGTTGTTTCCATTTTCGTGTGAATATATATATACTGTCTTGAATGTAAAAGATTTAGTTACAAGGGGTACTCCGTTTCCATTTTCTCCCGTGATTTTATCAAGACATATCTTATCCACATTTCATTAGGACTTATATATATATATATATATATATATATATATATATATATATATATATATATATATATATATATAATATATATATATATATATATATATATATATATATATATATATATATATATATATATATATATATATATATATATATATATATATATATATATATATATATATATATATATATGCAAGTAAATCACTAGAAAAGATGATCTAGGTATATGCTGATAACCACAAGGAAAGAAGAAAACACGAAGTTCCTAAGCGCTTGCATTCACATCTTCAGGGTGAGTACAGACTAGAGAGAGTACACAAATCAAGGTGTATATACAGAGGAGGGTGAGACCAGGTCCACAATGGTCAGGTATTAGGTGGAATAAACTACTAATCTTTTAAATAGCACACAACGGTTATGGTCAGGTCAGATGGTCAAGGATCTGCCTTCTTTACCTGACTTCAGCAAATCTTCTGAATATTACAAAAATTGTCCAGCTTTGGTACATGCCATTACTCAAATTCATGTTGAATGCTTCGATGTTTAATAAGACTAGATCATGATGTCTTGTACTATCATCTGAATTCATATGGTAATATTGAGGATAAATATTATCCCAGTCAATGCAATGCTTGTTATCCCTCAAATGAACAAAGCAGAGCATTGGATTCCTGGCCTGTCCTAACACTGTATTTGTGTTGTTTAATTCTAGTTGCAAGATTCTCACCTGTCTGGCCTAAGTAAAACATATTACATTCCTGTAAGGAACTTTATAAATGCAACCAATTGTGTTGTTGGGGGAGTTCTTGATTAACATTTGTTTGAACAGCATGAGTTTTTAAACGCCACATTGACGCTCCACAGGTTTTAGCTGTGCAGGAATGTGAGAATTTCAGAAATGGCATATTAAGATATTCTTATGGCCGCGGTGGGCTGGGGTCAGTTCTATAAAAAAGTTTTCTGCAATGTTTAAGCATTTGTTCATGAAAGATCTAGGTATTTAAGGTTTGAGCCAATATTATATATATATTTGTATTCTCATCGATGAATTCGACTGCAAATTCAAGGCACGAAAACATTGCTGAAAAATACTGGACTGTTTGACTTATTATGGTGGGCAGAATAATAATGCAGAATGTATGAACACACATTAGTTGGTTTTCTATAAAATACTGAACTAAAAGTGTTACCTATTCTGGTGTATCAGACAGTCTAGAATGGCAATTTACAGTCTTGCCTCTAATTCCACAGTGAATTTGATCGAGGGGGCTAAGTTAAGTTAAGTTGTGGTGCAGGGAAAGCTTTAGGTCCTCATTAGCATGGCCAGAGACATAATACATCATCAACATATCTAAAAACCAGACTGTTGAGGGTGGTAAAATATTACTTATTGAAGTTTCTTTTCAAAGAATTTACATATAGGTTGCTTAATACAGGTGAGAGTGGATTACCCATTGCCATACCAAATTTTTGAGCATAATATTCTATTGAATTCGAATTTGCAATCCTTAATACATAGTTTGATGAGTCTGATGAAGTCAGTTTTTCGAGACGGCAGTGAAATGTTATCCAGGGAATCTATGAGGAACTTCTAGTAAATCATCAACTGGGACCTTGTAAAGCAGTGACGCTACATCAAAAGCTGACCAGTTAAAATCGTAATTAATGTGTGTTATTGAGTTTATCAACTAGATCCGTGATATTCTTGATATTGGAGTTAGAAATGTTGCCAACTAGGATTTAGTAAAGAAACCAACCATTTAGATAGTTTAGTAAGAGATTGACCCAACTGCTTAATGATGGTCTTGTTGTTGCTGGGCTTGTGGGTCTTGATTACACCGTACATGCATGGCAGTGGAGGACGCTGAAGATGTTTAATGAGCAGAAGCTTTGCTCTCTCAATAGGGACTTCAGTTTTTGTTGAAACTTTGGTGCTGACAGTGTTGAGAGGATTGTTTATAAGTTTAGGAATATGTTGTAGTATCACATAAGAGGCCTGGTCTATTTTAGATATAGTCATCTTGTTTAAGATCACTACTGTGTTGGCTTTATCTGCTTTAGTGACATGTAGATCCTTATTTTTCTTATGGGCTTGATTGCTTTGGTGAATCTTTCTGGACAGTTTGGAACACAAGGCTTGGACATAGATGCATACACGACACCTTTACACATGTTCACTTCTTCACTTGTCAAATTACTGAATTTCCTCCAAATTGCAAAATGCTCTGGCTATGTCAACACTGTCATTGTTTAATTTCTTTGTTAGAACCATCAAAACTTAAACCATAGCCGAGGGCACACAAGGTATCATTGTCTAGTTGTTTCAGAGGAGAGATTCACTACATTGTACAGCATACATCCTGGTCCAATCACTATTTCTAATAAGGAGTGCGCCAATTTCCAGGTCTAATCTTGGTTGAAGATCAGAACGCCCACGCTCCCCAGGCTGGTCAAAACAGTAGTCTACGAACTGCTTCCAATAGCTCGGTATGGTCAGCATTAAAAGCGCTGGGCTTTTTTTTGTCTTAGCAATACGGAAGGCTTCATCCACTTCAATTTTCGGTTTCAAAATGTTTCTTAAGGATGATTTTTGAACTCATCAAAGGGGCGGTCAGACATCTTCAGGACACGCGCAGTAGGATTGATCTAGGCATAACTTTTCACTGCATGTCTGAGAAATTTCAAACGATTAATTTCTAGGGCTCTGGATCATCGAAGAGGAGTATTCAGTAACGGTGTGGAGACAGTCCAGACAGCTTGTAGAGAGGATGAAGAAGTATGCCGCGGGAATCCATTTATGCAAGTAAATCAATACTGTAGGTGACTGTTTCATTCTGATCACAATTCTAATTACAAAATTGTCCAGCTTGTATATGCCAAGCATTTCAAATTCATGTTGAATGCTTTCGACCAAAAAACCTGAACGGCCAATGTGGCATTTAAAAACTCATGCAGCACTTTTAAACAAATGTTAATCAAGAACTCCCCAACAACACAATTGGTTGCATTTATAAAGTTCCTTGCAAGGAATGTAATATAGTTTTAATGAAGGTGACAGGTAAAGATCTTGCAAATTCAGAATTAAACAACATTAAATACAGTGTTAGGGACAGGGTTGTGAATCCAATGCCTGTTTGTTCATATTTGAGGGATAACAAGCATTGCATTGACTGGGGATAATGCCTCCTCATCATTACCATGTATCCAATTGATAGTAGAACATCATAGAATCTAGTTCATTAAACATACCAAGCATTCAACATGAATTTGAGTAACGGCATGTACAAGCTGACAATTTTGTAATTAAGAAGATTTGTGGATCAGGGTGAGAAGGCCGGCCACTTGGACCATCTGACCTGACCACCAACCGTTAGTGTGCTATTTAAAGATTAGTAGGGTCATTACCAATACCTGACCATTGTGACCTGGTCTCACCCTCCTGTATATATATACACCTTGATTTGTATTACTCTCTCTAGTCTGTACTCACCCCGAAGATGTGAATTACACGAAAGGCTTGGGAACTTCTTGTGTTTCTTCTTCTTGGTTATCAGCATATATATATATATATATAGTAACCTCACTTTACACGGTTATACATTAAAGGGTTGCGAGAAAGTGAGAAACGC